TGTGTTTTTTCCTTGTCTTTGTATGTTTACACTGATAATTAATAATGGAGAGTAAGCCTTTCTTGAGATAAAAATATCTTCATTACAGTGAAAACATAGCTTGTTGGAGTGACTGTATTCTCAGGAAGCTACATGCTAATGCCAGACTTTCTAGCAACAACTTAAAAACCTTTAAAATCCAAACATTTTGCTGGATATCTTATGTACTCTGTGCAGTCTAACAGCTTATCTGAAGAAGACATAATTGCATTAATTGGTTCTCATCAGCTTCAAGTAGCAAAAAGCCAGAAACTGGAGAGGTTTGGACACGACTTAAGTTACAAATCCATTCTTTCAGGGAATGGTCAAATGGAAGTGAAAGAGAGAACTCCCTGATGCTGCCTGGTACGTAAACTGTAGGATGATAGAAGGATCTAGGTTTGAAAGGTCTCATGAAGTTCTTTAGTCCAGTTTCCTTACCAAAGCAGGTCTAACTTCAAATCTAGATTAGATTGCTGAGTTCCTAATCTAGCCTTTTCCTTTTTAAGGGGTAATTTTTAATAATCAATGTAATGTTGCATGCATACAACGGAATGATATTGTAAGTGATAATGAAATATAATTCTACCACCATTAACTGAAAGTAAGCAGAAATCCAAAACAGAACAACCAAAGATTGAAATATAAACATTCCACACTCCCCAAACTACTCATAACAATACAATGACTGTGCCATTAAAATAAAATATTGACAGTATTTTGCCACTTTTTGAACACTGTAAGATTTTGTCATGGGCATGTGTACTGCAGTATAAAGGAAGTTGTAGGATGCATGTGGTATCCACAAACTTGTAAACTCATAAATACAGTTGCCCAGAGGCAAGAGGAGAGAATGAGGAAATACTCTACTTATTACAGAGCATCACATCTGAAGGCAATGGTTGTCCACCTCAAATATGGCACTGGTCTTGAGATGTGAAGGAAGATGTAGAAGCAAATCATTATGCGTTCTCCCCTTGAAAGTCTACATTGTCTTAATTTGTTGTTCAAGGAGCTGCTAGATGTGTCAAGCAATCTTTCTTAACTGACTCTCTTGCATCCTTCTGTGTTCTAGAAGATAGTCTTCTAACCCTGTCCCCGGTTATGCCTATGATCCAAAGCAGTACCTGTGGAGAACACAACCCACAGCCAAGAGTCTTCCTTGTCTCCTTTCACTTTTCTTTCATATTTCTTTATGTTCTTTTTCCCCCTAGTTGTCTCTCTCTCATACCCAATACTTCACCATATTTGGTTTCTTAAAATTGCCAGTTGCCTTTCTGTCTCCTTTTATGGGTAGACTGAGTTCCAGTATCTCGACTTGTCTTTTTTTGTTGTTTGTTTTTATGAAGGAGGAGTCCTTCACTGACATTAAGAGAATATAAATGCAAATAGATGCAATTGTAGCAGCAGGAGAAATGCAGAGAGGTTTTTATTTGTTTTTCTCTAGAGAAGGACATAGACGATCCAGGTATCCAGACGATACCTGCACTCATTTTGGATTCCTATCTTTTCCAGGCTAGCACAACCATGTACCGCTAACTGCAGCATTGCAGAATGACATCAAGGCCTGAGCCAAACAGCCAAAACAGTCAGAGAACAAGATAACCTCAAAAACAGTGAGTCTGCCAGCACCAGCGCAGTTTCTCAGGTATAACACAAACAAAATGGGGCTGGTTCTCACTGATCCTGCAGTGCTGCTTCTTGTGTGTTGTTATAATGAATAAACTTCACTCATCACCCTACTTCCCTTACTTTGCATAGTCCTTCTGTGCTTCTGTGTACATATCACACCTGCACTGGACTCCATCAGTCTAAGATTTCAATATAAAAATTCTACATAGAGAGGAAAAAAAGACTTACACATAGCCTGATGCACTTGTCTCCCACCATTCATTACAACTTAGGAAAGGATGCAGGGACTACTTGCAGCCTTGTTCAATGACTGGAGATGGCATTCCTGTCCACCTCATCTCCTAGTGAATAACACTGATGAAGGGAATGGCTTCTCCACCTTTGCTCCCTGTGCTGAGCTGGACTATATCTGAGGAGAGAAAAGCATTTGCAGAGAACTTTTGTGCCCAGTTCCATTAGGCAGCAGAAGCAACTATAGTTTCAGTAGTTTCTTCTGTGTCTGCAGAATGCAGTGAGCAAAATTGGGATGATCAGAGACAGTGCCATGCTGCAAACTGTGGGGTTGGGAGACTGGTTGTCCAGGAAGTCTGGAGAGGATAGTCATCCATAAGAAGAAAAGGCAAAATTGCATTCCCCATCTCTCTGGATCTTCATGATGTCTCTATCCACCAGCACTCAAGTGATGCTTAAGAGTGTACTAGGGTCTGTCTGGAATAGTGTCGATTTTCTTTGTAGCAAGTTGTATGATGCTGAGTTTTGGATTTGTGACTAAAGCAGCCCTGATAAGACACATGTGGTTTGGCTATTGCTGAGCAGTGCTTGCACAGCATCAAGGCTTTCTCTTTTTCCCACTCAGGCGTCCTCAGGGGTAGGCAAAAATTTGGAGGGGACACAAGCAGGATAGCTGAGCCAAATAATATTGTATGCCCTATAACATCATATACAGTAACAGAAATTGAGGAGAGAGGGATTTTTGGGAGGTAGCCATTGCTCAGAGACTGGCTCTAGACATCACTCTGCTTTTGCATCACTTTTTGCTTCACTTACTAAACTATATCTGTCTCAACCCATGAGTTTTCTCGCTTTTGCTCTCCCCATCCTGCTGTGGTTTTGTGGGAGGAGTGAGATATCGTGTAGTGCTTAGCTGTGGGTGAGGGTCAACCTGCTACAAAGCGAGAAAAGAAAACCTCCAGAGTCTATCTGCTGTACACAGTCAGGCTTCCACACAGCTACAGTACATACTCAAACGTATGCACATACATGCATTCCAGCATCTGCTCTGATGCAGTCACTCACCACCCCACTGTTTACCCCAGGACAACATAGGCGCTGTGAATTGCCGAGGGATGTGTCACAGCCAGCTGAATCTGAACCACACTTGAACCAGCACTGTGACACTAGTTGGAAAGTTCCTTCTACAAGGTACAGAGGCATCTGTACAGAATTCGCCACCTTACATGACCTGTTGATTGAGGGAAGTTAGATCTGAGACTGTTGCAGAGTCCAGACTTTGGCCTGTTCCTTGGCCTGCTCATCCATGTGTGCACCAATGATATTGTCAAGGGAGACCTTAGCAAACCAAGGGTAGCCACAAGGCACTGGAGCCCAGGTGCTGTTCTCCTTGGTCCTGCCAGTGGAAAGGCAAGGCTTGGGCAGGAGGGCGCCCAACCTATGGGTTAACACCTGACTGCACAGCCAGTGTTGCAGGCAGAGCTTTGGCTTTTGTGACAGTGGACCCCCGCTTTGAGGAACAAGGGCAAGAGCATGTTTTCCAATAGGCTTTCCAGCCTATCTAGGAGGGCTTGCCCTAAGCATACTCTACATGCACTGGGATTCTTCTAGTCTTTCTCCTACTTCATGGCCCTCCAGTGGTACCATGTGCTCTCCTTGGACTCTTTTAACATCTACTTCTTTCTTCGTGTCTATGAGGCCACTCTCTGCTCTCTCAGCATTCTTTCCGTCTTTCTGCTGTGCTTTTTCAACTCTTCAAGGCTACTCTGATCACTAGATCTCTTTCTGGCCTACTTTTTTCCACCTTTCTGTGGCTAATCTTTGTTATCCTTCACATTTGCAGGCTTTATGCTATTTTCTTAACTTCTCTGAGCCTACTCTGTCTTTTCTGAGGTTCTTTCAGGCTCTTTTCTAATCTCTGAGGCTCTGCAAGGGTTCTCTGTTCTCTGGGACTCTCTCAACCTCTCCACTTCTTCCCTAGACTCTCCAAAGCTGCTATGGCTGCTTTTCAGTTTCTTCCTTCCTCTCACTGAGATGACTTTGGAGCACTTTCAGTCTTTCTGCTTGTTCTGTATCTCACTCACCTCTCAGTCCCCCTTTCCATCATTATACTGGGTTTTCTGCAGCTGCTTTATTTTCCCTTCAAGGTCCATGGCATTTCAGCAACTACCCTTCTTTCTCCTGAGACTTTTTCAGCCTTCCTGCTTCTTTCTTCGCTTCTCCAAGGCGATTTTCTGTTGCTCTTTTAGCCTCTCTCCTCTTTTAACAGATGCAGGTACACACGTCCAATGCTCTTGCACAATCTCTGATACTTTCTTATTGTTGTCTTGTGTGTTATCATAGTTCTTTCAGGCTTTCTACTAGTTCCTTTTTTTTCCTCAGTCTTCTCTTGAGGCCACCCTTGGTACTACTGAGTACTCCAGAATTGCTTTCATAGTTCTGAGACCTTCTTGTTATCACTCAGCATCTTTTGTATTCTGAGGGATTCTTATCTGCCTTATCTATTTCTTTCTTGCCATTTTGACATTGCTACATTTTGTTTCCTTGAGCACTAACAGGCTTTGTTCCCTTCCCTGAGGCTAGTTCATATACTCTGAATCTCTTTCAGACTCTCTGTTGCTTTGTTCCCTTCTGCTTGGCTCCACTGTTTCATTTGGTGATCTTTCAGGCCATCTTCTACTTTCCTGGCATTTGGAAGGCTATTCTGCAATTTTTCTCTATCTGAGTGTTAATCAGTTTTCACATTTTGTCTGAGATTTCTCAGTGTCCTCTGGATGTCTTTCAAGCGCTCTACTACTTTGTCCTCTCTTCATCTATTCTATATTCTCTGGGAGTCTTGCAATCTCTTTCCTATATTAACAGGCTCTCAAAACCATTTTTCCATTCTTTGGATACTTTTCACACTTTTTTTCTGTTCTATTAGAGTATTGTTTTGAAGGATGAGAGAGGACTGGGGCAGGGGGCAGGATGGGAATCTTTTCAGAGATGCAACAGTTTCAAGAGCACTGGATTTCAAATGCAGTGGAGCTGGAATAGATCTCTGTCAGTCACCTTTTGGAATTTTTTTGTCCCTGTTTGGTTTTGATGCTGGAGTTAGGAGACAAATGAGCTCAAAGAGGCACCTTTGAAAAAATGCTTTATTTTTATATCATCCTAGTAAAAATCTTTTATATAAAGGCGAAAGTAGGTATTGCATAGAAGAAACACTGGTGCAAACATCACCTGGTGGGAATGGCATGTTGTTTCTTAGTGTCTGCTATCTACTGCACAACAGATGGCTAGCCCACAGCCAGACATCTCCAGGTTTCCCCATGCCAGCTACAGGATGAAGCTGCTCAACTCTGTGGAAAGAAGTTACATCAGAATTACGTGTGGCCTATTCCATGCTGCTTCTAAGAACCATCTGCTGCGAAAACACTCTTTTCCCCTTGGTCCTTTCTATGCCTGACCACTAGTTGCCCAAGAAAGACCATGAGGATCAGTTTGGCTGCCCCCTGCTTGCACCCCTCCTGTGTGTGAGTTTGTATTACATGCATACAAATGGGGGGGGATGGACACAGGATAGGAGAGTTGGCCTAAAGCGACCATAGTCCAGGAACTCAATGCATGACATACCCAAGGCATCTTCTGTCATCTTGGAGACATTTGCGTCATTGTTTTTAACGTCTTACATGCTATGGGCACTTTTTTTGAGCACCTTTCACCTGGGCTTCCTGTAGCTAACAGCCTTGGTAAGTCCAGAAGGAAACAGAATTCACTGCTAACACTTCATCAGCTTTCAAGTAGAGGTTCTTCAGGCAGTTCTCCTGTTTTGTCTCTGCTTAAGTTCTATTGCAGCTTCCAAGCATGAAGGACAGTAAGACAGCAGGTATGCTACAGTCTGAAGGAACACTCAGAGAAACAGCACTTTCACAGACTTGAACTGTGCTTTCATGAATTAGAGATACAGAGAGGTATGCATTTATACAAATCAATATTTGTGTATATTAAAGATACTTTTTACTCAGTATCAGTTTTATTTAAAAACATGCTAAAAACTTATAGTTAAATAATCAGAGTGACACTGGGGGAAAACACACAGATAGCCACCTACCAGCATAAGCAAAAAAAGTGCATACATACATGAGCCAAAGCTCCCTTCGACCAGTTTACAGGATAATTTGTGCCTTCTCTGACAAACTGACTGATGCAGCCTCACACTTTCCAGAGCTGTTTTCTGCTGCCTGGAAAATGGTATTACTTTTCTGCACCTTTGAGGATGTCTGTCATCACCTCCCACATCAGAGAGTCAGCTAGAGACACAAATCAGTCCTGCTTTTGACTCCTCTCCTGTAGGTGGCTTCATAGAGATGAATACATGAAGCTCATGTAACTATCTCACTTAATACTGTGCTTAAAATGCCAAAAGTAGTCATTAAAAAAAGATTTCAGGATCTATGCTGCTAGATCGTGAAATGGAATGAAGCATTCTAGAAAAATAAGTTTGGATGGAAGGCAAAGTAGCTGAGTTTGCAACTACACATTTCATCTCTGAGTTACTCATAAACAGTTTTTATTTCCTTATTACTTTCATTAATATATTTTACCATTTTTGTACAAAAACTGACTGCAGATTAAAATTTAAGATGCGGTAAGTACCACTGTGCGACCCCAAAGGACAGAGATGATGCTCCTGCTCAGCCCTGCACCCTGCTCTTTTTAAGCACCAGAGAAAGCTAGAGAAAGCTAAGCACTTCTGCCCAAAGGGAGAATGCAGTGGAGCCATCAAATGAAAATCATCCTATCTTTTCTTGCAAAAATGGGAACGCATCTTAGCAACTTTGGATACAGTCTTACATGTAGCAGCAAGTACACTGGGCATCAGAGCCCCTTCTTCAACATGGAACAGCCATCTCCAGTGAGGCTCAGATGCTCCTGGTCCCAATTTTTGTTAGAAATGGAAGTAAAACTGGATTCAGTTTCTGTGCTTTCCCTCTACTTCTTCCCCAACTCCTTCAAAGGCTATCCAAGTGAAACAGCTGAACCCATATGGCCTTGTCTGCTTCAGTGGGAAACAAGAGCCCTGTGAAACTTTGGGCATTGTGCTCATATGGGCAAAGGCTGTGCTCTAAAAATAGTAACCTTCTTCACTGTAACACTCAAATTCATCTCTATCACCCACACATTCACACTCCTTCCTGTCACACTGATTTCATAGGAACTCAAGAAAGTGACACATAGGTCAGACAAAACACTATTGCTGCCAGATGTATAGATGCATGCAGGACTTACTAGGAATATAAACATGGGACTAAAACCTCCCAGATATAGTGGCTCAACAGCTATTTCAGCCCACAAGGAAAAGATACGCTGAATGATACAATGAAAATTGTATCTTTTTAGAGCTTGGACATTAAGAGAATTTTGTTTACCAGAGTAGTTGAAGTGGCATGGCTCTGAAAGGCACAATATCTCCATCCTCAGCAGATTCTGAAACTCAGTCCAATACCATCATAGTGAACCCCATCTCACAGACGTGTCAGTACCCCTTTGAGAGTGACACTGGATGAGGTAACCTCTGAAGGTTGACTCTGACAGTTGCTAATACAAAAAGCTGTATTTCTTTCAGAGCTGAGCCAAGCCCTGACTGAAATTTAGTCAGAACATCTTCCAGTGTCTAAGCATTTCCCTCTTCCTTCACAAATTAGCAAAAACCTGGAACAAAGGGTAAATGGGGGTTCCTTGCAATGAAGAAGCATTTAAAGTAGAGAAATACACGTTCAAGTTTCCTAATCGGGAATGTTGGTAAAAATAGACATTGAGTAAACTAACCCAAGGGATGGACATTGTAAGATTTTTTTCTTCTATTTTACCAATGCCATTCACTTGATGCATTTTTTCCTTTCTTCTGAAATCCTTCTGAATAAAAGCATGCTTTCTTTAAAAAAAAAAAAAAAATTAAGCTGAACATGAGCCAGCAGTGTGCCCAGGTGGCCAAGAAGGCCAATGGCATCCTGGCCTGCATCAAGAACAGTGTGGCCAGCAGGAGCAGGGAAGTGATCCTTCCCCTGTACTCAGAGCTGGTGAAGCCACACCTGGAGTGCTCTGTCCAGTTGTGGGCCCCTCAGTTCAGGAAGGATATTGAGGTGCTGGAGCAGGTCCAGAGAAGAACCACAAGGCTGGTGAAGGGACTTGAGCACAAGGCCTATGAGGAGAGGCTGAGGGAGCTGGGGCTGTTTTCACTGGAGAAGAGAAGGCTCGGGGAGACCTCATCACTCTCTACAACTACCTGAGAGGAGGTTGTAGCCAGATGGGGGGTGGTCTCTTCTCACAGGCAGCTATCAGTAAGACAAGAGGACATGGTCTTAAGCTCTGCCAGGGGAGGTTTAGGTTGGATATTAGGAAGAAATTCTTTCCAGAGAGGGTAATCAGGCATTGGAATGGCCTGCCCAGGGAAGTGGGGGATTCTCCATCCCTGGAGGTTTTTAAGATGAGGCTGGATGTGGTACTTAGTGCCATGGTCTAGTAACCATGGCAGTGTTGGATCAAGGGTTGGACTTGATGATCTCAGAGGTCCTTCCCAGCCCGGCTGATTCTATGATTCTGTGATTCTATGATGACTTGGCAATCCATCAGCAAGAATCAATCTGTACTGAAGGTGTGACAACACAATCCATCTCTGAGTGCTGTTTTGGAAATTACCCCTTTCCTGCATCATCTGGTCACCTTTAATCAAACCACCTTTTCTACTTCAGGGAGACAGCTCTCTTTAGCTTGAGGAAACCCCTACAGTGAAGGGCATGGCATGACAATGTTGCCATCAAATTGCCCTCCCCTTCCTTCACATCCAGCAGCACGCCATGCCTTGGGCAAACTTTTTTGAAGCAGACAACACAATCTGTGAAGTCTGCTGCCAGTAGGTCAGACTGCAATCTCTCTCCTTTGCGCTAACAGTAACTTGCTTAGTCAGTGCTTTAAGCTTTCAAAGTAGCATGACATCAAAGCAGCCAGGCACTGCTTTGGGTGAGTAAAGGCATTGAAACTTTGCCTCACAGAAGTAGGAAGCTCATCATCTGGTCCAGTGGGAAGGCTTTGCATTCCATCTGAGGAAAGAATCTCTGATTTTAAAGGGACACCTTTGTTACAGTAAGGGCATCAAGGCCCCGATAAAGGTAGACAATGCCTCCCCATGGACTTGAGAAAAGTTGTGTCTTTGCCCGCACCATCAACTTTGAAAAACATGTCCTCTGGAGATCGCACAGTGGTTCCGAAATTAATGTACAATAAATGTGTAAAACCAAAAACAGTAAGAAGTTATAAGTCAGGCAACTAAATTCTAAGCTATATCCATCATAATAATAATCATCATCATCATTATTATAATAAAAAAGTATACACCATAAGGTACAAGAAGCTGCAAAGCAAAGCAGCTCCAATTCCTAGGACTCTCAGTTAGAGTGGCTTTTCCGAGTCTTCCAGTAAATTGGATATAAGGGTTGAAAACTTAATGGAAGACTTTGAAGAATTCTCACTTGAAGTTGAACACATGTAATTTTTGCACATATAGCATGGATTAGTAGAGCAAAACATTTTCTTAAGTTAAGAAACATTCTTAGAGCAGATCTATGATTTCGTGTAGAAAATCCATTTGTTTGGGGGGGTTTCCCCCTCTTTGGCAAATAAATGGCAAATGTGAAACAGGAAAAAAAAAAAGAGTCAAATAAGTTGTGATAATAACTGGACAAGTAACAACAAAGTGGATCAGTCAATGGGACGGATTCCCTCAGCAGGGCTAAGTGTGATGCTCCTTGTGGTCATTCCTTGTGTTCATTTTTATGATGAGACAGAAGGGTTGATGTGATAATGTTTCAGAGGCTTTAGGCATCATATTTTTTGCCAGTCCTGTGAATCTGCTGGAAGAGTGTCATGGAGAAGGCCATGCCAAGAATCTGAAGGAAAACAAACAATAAGGGCTTTAATACAGGAAGGCTTCCAGGACTGCACTGCTGACCTGTGTTCATGGCCCAGCTGTAGTTCTAACAGCCATTCTACACTAGCCATATTTCCCAAGCTTCAACACTGAGCAGTAAACTTGAATGTATGTTGTTCAGGCACACAGTGATGTCCAGGGTTGTATCTGTCAGAGCCCAGATGGAGACAAAAAGCTCTCAGGGCTCTTTGTCATATGTGCAACCATTTTTCAGAATCTATATGTTCAAGTCACTCTTTCCTTTGACGCAACAACTTGTGCTTGTTTAGCCAGGTAACTGTGACTGAAACTATCAGATCCAGGTATCATCTCCCAGAAGAACAGGAGTCATAGAATCATAGAACATTGTGAGTTGGAAGGGACCCACAAGGATCATCGAGTCCAGCTCTTGGCCCTGCACAGGACAACCATCAAAAATCACACCATGTGCCTGAGAACATTGTCCAAATGCTTCTTGAACTCTGGTCAGCTTAGTGCCATGACCACATCCCTGGAACAGGAACCCCAAAACCTTAACAGATTATTATGATACTTCTGCATTTCCTTTTTTAAAACATGTTGACATACTCAGTTGAGTGGTCATGACTTGAATAATTTTGGAAGTTTCTAGAACTTGCTTCCAAAATTAAAAAACAACCAGTTCCCTAAAGGACAGCATAACAAATGGCTAAATATTGAACTCCAAAGAGGTACTCTGAAGTCAAAACACAGATAAGCAAAACACCACTGCAAAGAAGTCCAGTCTTCTTTGCAGGACTCACTGCTGACATGCTTTCTTTCTGAGTAGATGGCCTTATATGAACTCATAAAACAAATCTGACATTATTGAAATAATATTCCAACTCAAAGCAGTTGAGCATCACTTTTCACACAGCAGAATCAAGAATGTTGACAGCAAATCAAAGCCACGTTAACAAACATCATACCAGTATTACCTGCATTATGAGGATGCACATCCCAATTGAACCAAGGACATGTTTATTCTCATCAAACCAGGTCATAACTCTCTCATAACATCCCTGAAATGATGAAAGATGAAAATTGAAACCCCAAGGTCACATTTTCTTTCACGCGCATTCCCTCTATTTTGTTCCTTCCCACCCCTACCTAAGACTTGACCTGGGCAAAGTGAGCCTTACCGTTTTCCAGACTAATTCAGTAGAGTTCCTTCCACAGTCTTGGGAGTTTTCTGTACAACATCGGTCTGGAACAACATTTTCTCCCAGGACTGGGTACCAATCTGTAAAGTCATTCACACCACAGCATTTCATCTGTGCAAAAGTAAAGAATTAAAAAATTAACTAGCACAGTTTGTGAATCACACACAACCACAAATTTGTACTTCCACTAAACCATTCTGTATTTTCAAAACAACACTTCTGTAGTTTTAAAGTGTTCTGTGGTTGCTGACCTCTAAAAGCAAATACTTAAAAACACAAAGGAAAAACAAAATTAAAGAAAATAAATGGTTCCATGTCCAAGGTATGTTAAGTCTTCTTGTCACATAGAGATGAGCCCAAACACCAAAACACAAGGTAATCTGCCCTCAATTGCTAACAGCAAAAGCCTGCCAAAGCTTCAGTTCCATCTATGCAGGTTTTGCTGCCTCTCTGCTGCTTCAGATCATCTGTGACAGGCACAGAGAATCTCAGACAGGTGAGCATCTTTCACCTTACAGAGTACCCTTTGATCCTGGTTTCACAATACTCCCTGGATGTTCTGGAGTGCAAAATCAGAAACCAAAACCTGCATTAGCCATCTTTTAGACTTGGCATGGATGCCATACTTAACAGACTGCGGTAGGCTTCATGAACAAAGATTTTTTTTTTTATATTGAGAAAATATATTACCTCTGCTTGAATGATATTCCAGGCATTTTTCAGTCCAACATTATTTTCTGAATTATATAGCTTCATACCCTCCTTCAGATCCTTCTTTGCACTCTCACTGACCTGCACCATGTAAAAGATAGAGAATCAAAGCTGTTCAGAGGAAAGGACCAAATGGTATAGACACACATATAGAACATGTCTCTTAACTTCTTTCACCACAAACTTAATGTAGGTAGAAAAGCTTCAAGACTCTCACAAGTCAGTGGGACCTTTAAGCAATTGCCAAGGCCTAGTCTCTCCCTCAGATTGCAAAATACTGGATTAATTCTCTTGAGATAGGAGACCTCTGCCAAGAGTCCATCCTGTAGTCATCATCTGATTCAAACTAATTGAACATTAACAATCTGCTGATCTTACTGTAACCTTGCCAGTGACGGCTGTTGTCAATACCGCACAGCAGTCTCTCCTGCCTGTAACCTATGGCCTACTTTAAGGCCAGAGTTCTGGCCTTCCAACCCTAACAGAGTTATCTTTGCATGGGTTCTGGGTTCAGGCAGGCTATAGTTTACAGCCAATACAAAATCAATTGAAAAAAGACATTATTGTTGTTCTCCTTGTGGGAACGGACTTTCAGGATCTGTCACTTTCAACTGTGCTCTTCTTTTCTTAGAGGATAAAGTTGGAATGCTTAACCAGAGATTTGAGATGTCTCATTTCTTGTATAAATTTCAGTCTGAGCTTGGAGTCCCAGATGCAGGTAAGCACGCACCTTGCTTCTGACACTAGTGAGCTGGCAGCAGAGAAAGGATTATGGTCCTGGCATAAAGGTCACCTATATCAGAGGATCTCTTTCATCCCTCTTTGACACCTCTGTCAAAATCAGAAGTTCGTCTCAGCTCCCTGAAGTAGCAGGCATTATAATTATAGAATCAGAGACTCATAGAATTAACTGGGTTGGAAGAGACCTCCCAGATCATCAAGTCCAACCCTTGATCCAACCCCACTGTGATTACTAGATCATGGCACTCAGTGCCACATCCAGCCTCATCTTAAAAACCTCCAGGAACGGTGAATCCACCACCTCTCTGGGCAGCCCATTCCAATGCCTGATCACTCTCTCTGTAAAGAACTTCTTTCTAATATCCAACCTAAACGTCTCCTGGCACAGTTTAAGCCCGTGCCCTCTTGTCCTGCTGCTGATTGCCTGGGAGAAGAGACCGACCTCCACCTGGCTACAACCTCCTTTCGGGTAGTTGTAGAGAGTGATGAGGTCACCCCTGAGACTCCTCTTCTCCAGGCTAAAAAGCCCCAGCTCCCTCAGCCTCTCCTCATAGGACTTTGTGCTCAAGTCCCTTCACCAGCCTGGTGGCTCTTCTCTGGACCTGCTCTAGCACCTCAATGTCTTTCCTGAAATAATGACAACCTGAGAAAAGATAAAGGTCTCATAGGAGCTGTTTTAAAATAAGTCTGGACATGCTCATACTGCAAGGTTCTGCCCTGTGTTTAGCAGAGTTCTCCAGTTCCTCAGGCACTTTTCCAGTCTCACATATCCAATGGGCCAGCCAGTTGTGCCTAGTTCACTTGGTCTCTATGAGATAGCAGTTCCCTACAGATAAGCTTTATGAGAACCTGCCTCCTGATCCATTTTGCACCCTTGCCAAACTCTCTGGGTCTGCCCAGTCAATTGAGACAACTGCTGGCATCTGGAATAACCTGTGAATATCCCATGCCTCTCTCCTCCAGTCCTGTTCCAAGGGTTGGCCCTAAGAAGCTAAGCAGGTTTTAACTAGGACCTCCCACAACTCAGGTCCACAAGATGATCAGCTTCTTGCAGACATCAAACAGCTATGTTGAAGGCTATCTAAGATTTTAAAAGAAGACTAAAAGGGAGATCCTGGAACACAATTTTATGTCAGCGATTTCTCTTCTGCTTGTTCTCCTCATCACCTCCTCCCCCACTTCAGAACCAGCTCACAGAAAACAGCCAAGATTTAAAGTGAAACCTTCACCAAAGTGAAGATCAAGAACAATCCACATACTTTTATCAAACAAAAACAAACTGAACCTGGTTTACATGCTAGTACAGATAATTAATCTATGTGGCATATTTGCTTACCTTGTCCATATAAACAAAGAACAAAATGAGTAATATCAGCTCTGCCAGAAGAATTATCAGCAAAACGATGAAAAACTAGAACAAAGAAAAAACAGACAGTGTATACACACTTGCCAACCAGAGAGCAAACCTGGGGCTTCTAGAAACTATGAAGACTGTGGGCCTTGTCCTCTAAACCTTTCCTGTACCACCAAAACCATGCAAATTTGATTTCAAACTATTCAGGCACATTGATACTATATTGCCACTAACACTTCTGAGGGTCTTGCCATCAGTGAGGAAACTCATTGTGTCATTCTCAGAATCATAGGTTTTGGCCTACTACCAGTTTGCAGGTTTCAGCTACGCTTTTGTCTTGCTCCTTTTGACTGCTGTCACAGCACACAGCCCTCTTTCCTTCATACAGACTATAGAACAGATGATAAACCCCTTACCATAAAGATCAATGTGATGTGCCTCAGGAGTGATTCCCTGGCAGGTGGGCTTTAAACACATCTGACTGTGGAACAGTCATTATATTATTACTCAGCACTTCCATTCCCAACTCTCTGTATCTGAAATCTCTCTCTGCAGGGGCATCCCAAGTGTGACTTCTAGTAGTTTCCCACTACTTTTCATGCCCACTATGCCTTTTTTTAATCATGCCTTTATGCCCTTAGCAGACTGTCAGACAGGCATGGCACCAGCTGCCCAAACACGGGGAGAAGCAACATGCAGCACAGCTAGCTCTCCAACTGAAAACTCATGATAGTCATGGTTGTATAAACAGACTTTTGCAGAACCTTGTAGGATACAAATACTCTTAAAAAAAAGAAAAAAGAAAAAGAAAAAAGAAAGCTGGTGTTGCAGTTTTTGTGGATGAATGACATGGACCTCATTACTTATTCTCTGAGGTGGTCTCAGGAATGCTGCCCAGCTGTTCCCTAGCATCATATAAGGGAGACTTTTGCACAAGGAAAACATGCTCCTGAATGTCACAGCATCTGTATTCATAAGCTGTGACTGAATGGGAACCTGTCTGCTTTGAAAGCCATCCTCTCACCTTCTGCCACACTACCTCTCTCCTTGGGATGGGGAGAAGCATGATGAGCTCTCCTGGGTTCATGCAAGAGGAGTGATCCACACTGTGTGTTCTGAGGGGATACAAACCTCTGAGCTTCAGTGCTGAACAAAGACTGGTGAGGATCAGACTTTTTTTTTTTTTTTTTTTTTAGTTGATAAGGTCTGGTAGAGACCTTGACTTCTTAGTTTGGGTCAGATGGTTTCCATCATCCTCTTCCTTTAGATATAGGCAGTATAGAAAATAGCAATGAGAGGCTTTGAGCCCCTCTGCGCTTATAATTTTTTCAGTCCATCTTTCTAGGAGACATTTCCAGAAGGGCTCTCTGGGTTGATCCTACAGTTCCTACTTAACTAGAGGTAACTGATAGTAATTTTCTATGCTATCTAATACATTAGGGCACATAGTAACAAGGATACATTTGCTAATACACCATTAATATCACTGTGATCAAAGCTGTGGGAGGTCATACTGCAAGCATACAGAAGACTGAAAGCCAAGGGCAATATTACAGTGAGCCACAAGGCTATTTTTGCACTGATCATTCAAATAAAATAATAACAAAGCAACAGTCACTGTCTTAGTGAAAAGGAGTACTGATGTCTTACGCTCAACAGGAGGCACTTGTTTTCCTTGATAGCACCTAGACAGCCCAGAAAGCCGGTCACCATGATCACTGTGCCAATGGCAATGACTAGGTTGGCAGCTGAAAGTGATGGAAAGCTAGGAGAAAATGTGGCGAAGTTTCCTTGCGACACCGACAGCCAGATGCCCACACCCAGCAGACCACAGCCACATAACTGCAACGAGATAAACAAAAGAAAGGTGTAACCATTTTAAAAAATGTCACTGTCTCCTTTCACAGCAACTCTGAAAAGAAATAATTTCACAGGTAAATTCTCAGTAAGTGTTCTGCAGTAATGCTTTCACTGGCTTGGTGCAGAAACAAAGTGAAATTAAATGTTCTTACTTAGACTAGGTCATGTCATCTATACTTATAATTCTATTGAAAAGCCACTGGATGGCAGAATTCTCTTTTTAAAGACTTAGCACATGAAACTAGGGCTATTCATTGATCTCCCAACAGCAAAACCTAATGCAATTTTAATCAATAACATCTTTTCAATAAATATTTGTCATAAAATACCCAGTCCCAGTAGCCATATTGGGTTTTAGTATGAGTTTTCATAGCTTTAGTGTTGTTTGCCTGTGTTCAGTGTCACAAAAATCAGATTTCTATGTTCGTTATCTACAGAAAGTAGATACTGCTACTCTCCATCAGTGAGAGAACCTGAAGGAAATGCATAGCTGCTAATAAAACATAAAATTATCTCCCAATGTACCAAGCATAAAAATATAGGGTTGTGAAGGCAGAAAAAGAGAATGAGAGATGGAGAGTAACTATATTGCAATGGTGGTAATTTCCACATCCTTTTGCACCTAAGTTTTAGTTTAGCAATCTGGAGGAAAACTCAGTGTCTAAAGCTCAGAAGAACATGTATTGAATAACACAGAGGAAATTTTCAGCATTCTTGTAAGGAGACTGGGAAGCACCTCTGCTTTTGAAACTCAACACACAGTAACTCTCCAGAGTGAGTTGGGGAGCTTTGCATCACTGGGTGAAGATAAATGTCAACATCTGTTTCCTATCATAGACATGGATGCAGCTGCAACATGAGTGTGTGCAGACAAAAGTCAAACACCTACTATCCTGTGAAAAGAATGGCACAAAACATACACACGCGTATGTGGCAGGGGAGGGCTACAGGACTTTCATCTCTTCCCTCAAATCTGTCCTCTCCAATTAATAATTTTGAATTGATTTCTCACTGCTTTGCATGTATATCAGCAAGGTCAATGTGAATTAAGAGTAGTAAAAAGCTGCCAGGGGATGTGAAACAGAAGCCTCCTGATCATATGCTGCTGCAGGACCCAATAGACAACGCTACAGATTTAAACTCCCTGCAGTTCATGGAACCAGCCACTCTACTGCTCCTGCTTTAAATTTCATCTACTCTGTCCTTGAACTGCTGCAGTTTTGGTGCCTCAAGCCCACTGAGGAATCCACTCTGTGGCTCAGCTGTTTTCACCGTTAGATGAGAACTGCAGGCAGTTGCTTGGGCTGAGACCTTAAAGGTTCAGGAGGTCAGAAGCAGCTCTCAACTCACAACATTCATTTAAGATATTAAATGGCACTTCTAAGCTTCCAGGGCTGCCATTGCCATTAGCTGATGGCACTTCAATCAATGACTTCATAATACACCATGGCTGAGACTTGACATGTTTCCAAAGAAGTTTCTACCAAAGTCTGAAATTGTTAAGTGTAACTTTCCATCAGAACCTGAATCCAGATTTTAAAGGCCATTCACAAATGTATTTCTTGGACTTTCAGACTCTATTAGGCTCAGAAATCACAGCCCTAGCTCAAGTGTTTTGAAACAGTGCAGTGAATTCTGGAATCATGAGGCCAAAAGCAATAGATCATTGCAGATAAACAAGGTGGTGGTAAGAGCAAGATCAGGGCAAAAGGCTTACAGAGGAAGGGCAAGTAAAGGACAAATATGTGATCAGTAGAAAGATCAGCCCATGAAGAGTCACACCTCGGGATCCAATGCCAATTATGAGATAGTAGCAAAAGAGATAGAAGAAAGAAGCCCTTACCAGCATCTCTTTATATTTGAAAAAATTCTGCAGCACAGTCTTGACTGAGATTGAGTCTAGAAGATAAGGGTAGCTAGGAAATTACAAGGCTCACGTTTGTGTTTAATTAGACAAAGTCAGAAGCAGCTAATTGCTTAGATGAGGGGAGAGCTATCTTCAAGTGTAGGAAATTAGAAAAGTGATGGGCCCACTGGTGCTCCATGGGGTGGACGTGAAGACTAAAAAGAAGGACCAGGAGCAGAAGGAGAATCAAAGCTGCAGGGCAGAAAAACAGACAGAAGGCTTCTGTCCTTTTGACAAGCCCTCAGTTCAAGAGACCTTCTATATACACTTCCATACAGATCCTATCTCCACTTGCTTGTGGTAGCCACATCAGTATTTTGGTAAACTCAGGAGCAAAACACTTTGCTTTTTGGCAGAAGACCGGTCACCCGCACCTTCACCTTTCCACAGTGCCTTATTAAGTAGACGTCTTCGATACTTGATGTGAAATGATTGCAACAAAGGTCTGGTGCTGTCCCTAGGCAGACCACTGTGGGGATGCAACTTGAATGCAAGGCATATGAACATGCTGGGAGAAGAGTCCTTTACAATGCAAAATGAATTGCTACATCAGCTGAGGCTGCAGACATATCGACATCTGCTAATTTTTCCTGCAATTCTAATGTCCCACTGAAGACAACTTTCCTTTCCAGCTTCTGTAGTGATTGCCAAATTGCACAGTGTGATTACGGTATCATCCAGAGCTTTGTGAAAACATTTATTTAGTGCAGTACTACAACTACACCACAGTATCTGCACTGATCATGTTCTTACCATGCCTGATTTCCAAGCTAAATTCTACTTTTCACCTCCCAAAGTAGGATTTCTCCACCCTTAAGCTACACTGAAAGTTCAGATTACATAAAAAATCAGGTGAGGAAGGGGTATTAAAGACCAAGGCTGATATATGCAAGCAGGATTATCTACAGTGACTGAAGAGAGTAAAAAGTCAGAAAGACTTGCAAGAGACTTAATAAAAAGACATAGCATCCTAAAAATTTCCACAAGGGGGCATTCCATACCAAATAGCTCTAAGAGTTTAAGACGAATTGAGTATTTCTTCTCTCCACATCTCCTCGATTTTTGTGCTTTCTTCTCTGTTTTTCTCTGCCATTCTACTGAGTAGCAGTACTGTTGATGCTAAAATTTATGCTTTAAACCTCAGGTCCCATGACAAATGCTTTTTTCACTCGTGCTTTTTAAAAAAATCCCAAATAATGCCACTGACATGGGACTTAATTGCATACACCATACCAACCAAAGCTAGCTAGCATTCTAGCAATAAAATACCTTTCCCTGACAGTTTATTCTATACCATTCTCATTTTTTATACTACATGAACACTGTAAAAAAATGTTCTGACAGCCATTTATTCTCACAGGATCCACCTCTTTCTGTTTGGAACAACTGAATTCTGGAGAGTGAAAGGAGAAAAAAATATATCAAGTCATCTTATTAATTCCTTTTTCACCATATAATGAAATAATATATGCTGCTTGGTATTTAATTGTGTGAGAGTGATGGCACTGACATTCCTTCCCTAGAGAAATGGTTCAACAGCATAATAAATTTCACTGGATTTTTCTTCTCAAAAGATGTTGGCTTGTTTCCCTCGCATGATTAGAAATCATCATCCTCCAGGCAACCCTCAAATCTCTCCTTCCCCCGGTGTTTATGTCACCACAGAACACTATCATAAAGTCAGTCACTTTTACTTACGGAGTAATTTAGCCAAGCTATGGTACATATATTTTGAGCTTAAAGGAAAACAAAAGGAACATCAACTTTCCTCACAGGTTCTTCCACACTTTGCTGTTTCACTGACCAAAGTCTGAACTGTTTTCAATACCTCAATGTCTATCCATCATCATCACTGTGCCCAGAAAAACTACCACATTCTAGGAAACAGTAAGAATCTCAAATGCTTCAAGAGAAATGAGAAGTCCAGACAAACATAGAGAAACTCCAAAACAAGTCTTTCCATGACAAATGCTATCACCAGAGTGGGAAAGGGGCTCTTTTATTTTATTCTACATTTTTGAGCATTGCGTGAGCTAATGCAATACAAACTTTCACAATACAGAACTATATCGAGGTTTAGTTGCCTTATCAAAAAGAAGACAGAGGAAGAGTTTATAAGACCTAGGAAAGGGCAGCACAGATGGTCAGAGGTATGCCAAGGCTGACATATTGTACAGAAGGAGATTGTGCACAGGATTATCTAGCCTGGGAGGTATTACTAGACAGGATGTGAATGAAATATTCACAACTCCAGAGGTCAGTATGAAAACCAAACAGCCTGTCTCTTCACTCTTTTTCAATAATAGGAACAAGGAGACTATTAGCAAGCATTTTTAGTATATTTTGCTTCACATAACTTAGAAGTAAATTGATAAATTATGCCATAGGTGATTACAAGAATCAAGCATTGTGGGCGCACAATTGTCAGCAAGGGCTAGATGATTTTATGTACTGGTAATAGCATTTGTAGTTTCTTAGCATATACGTAAATAATGACATTTCCTGCTTCTCAGAGTAAGATAATGAATGTAGAATCCAGCAAAACTACCAAGCAGCAAACAAGGTAGGGTAAAGAAGGGGTAGGAAATGTCATTTTGGCAAGGTTTATTAATAGAATTATATTTATAGACTTGCTCTTGAAGTTATTGAACAGCATCAGGAAAAGGGATGAGGCCATATTCTTGTTGACTTGCCATCATTCCATGCCATGCACAAAATGAGTGATGGAAAAGCTGCACAACTACGTGTGAGAGAGAAAGAGTAGAGGGAAGATTTATTCTTGACATCAGACTTCCTAGTGCTGGTTAAACACCAGGAGAACTCTTAATGCACTTGGAATAGAACAGAGACATTTAGAAACCAAACACTGAGAGACAACCACTAGGGACAAAGAAGAAGCAAGTGTCTCTGTACTCCACTTTGAATAACATGCCCTGGGCTGTCTGTGGCCCAGTTACAGAGAACAGAAAGCTCCCCACCTTACTCTGTGCTGAGTTAAAAGAGGCAATCTTGCCTGAAGCAAAAATGATACAATGAAAAATACACGGAGCAGCTTAAATATGGCCCCCATAAAGTG